CTGTTAGCTCTGTTTGAACAACACTGGCACTATTGCTCACAGCCCATTTTATGTTAAGGTTTAAGAATCTGGAGTATATTCCGCATCCTAAGTCTTGTTTTGTTTTAGAACCTTTGTTGTAGATATAAATCGTACCTGCCACTTCCGGCTCTTCTATTTGTTCTATTATAACTTTATATGGCTTATGAAAGATATATTTCGGTGAGATGGAGTCCATGTTCGCTTAAAGCAGTGGGGGCGTATCCAGCGCCTCCTGCCAAAAGTGACGTCTCGCCTCACCAGATCCTACATCTTATTTGGCCTTTGAGGCTCAACTTGTCCGATTATCAAACATATGTGACGACAATGGCGAAGGCGCTTTCGATTACTATTCGAGAGTGAAAGAGGTAATGTTACTAGTTTTGGCGAGAACTTTCTAGAACCTTCACCAGAATTTTAAATGTTTATATAAATATTAGTGGAGGAACACGGCCTTTTGCTTTTTTTGAATTTTTCTTTTTTTTTAATTTTTCTTTGCTTTTTTTTACTTTTTTGCTTTTTTGTCTTTTATGCTTTTTTACATTTTTTTGCTTTTTTTACTTTTTTGCTTTTTTTCCTTTTTTTGCTTTTTTTGCTTTTTTGCTTTTTTGCTTTTTCCTTTTTTTTTTTCCTTTTTTTGCTTTTTCCTTTTTTTTGCTTTTTCCTTTTTTTTTTCCTTTTTTTGCTTTTTTTTTGCTTTTTTTGCTTTTTTTGCTTTTTTTTGCTTTTTTTGCTTTTTTTTTGCTTTTTTTGCTTTTTTTGCTTCTTTATTTAAAAAGTACCTACATAGTATTAAATGGATAGGAACCCTTTCGTCTCGCACTTGGTCGGTTTTATTTACACAGAAGAAACAACACTACTTACTGATGACGCCTTAAAACAATTTTTGCCTCGGGCGTCTGTTTTATTTTGCTATTTCGATACAGTTTTCCAAATTACTTAGGCAGTTTTAGATGCGGTATTTTCACTTGCTTAAACAAATTTCAGTGAACTCGATTGGTCGAAAGCAGCGTCACGTGATATAAAATTATATTCATTGCATGAATTAACGGTGAAAAAATGTATTATACATTAATTATTTATATTATTCTCATTTACCCAGAGTGACTGTTTTATTATTTCCATCATTGTTGTTGTTTTCAAATTACATACATATATCTATATATACATATATTTAAATAATCTCATATTATATTACTACGGTTTGATAGATATTTATTTTCCAAAGCTTATTAGTGCAGCTTTGTTATTGTATGCATTTAAAATAATTATTTAGATAAATTTTGTAATATCAATGATTTATCTATCACTAATATAATTTTTGTACGAATAGATAACGAAAAAGCACACATTTTCAATATATTATTATGAAAGAGTGCATTTAGGCAAAGTCAATTTCCAATATTAAATTTTCGTGGAAACGGTATTGCGGATAAGCTTGGAAAAAATACAGTAGGCTAATCCGAAAATCAAATTAATTACGTTTAATGATTTATTTACGAAACGTAGCGTTAACGCAGATGAGACTAATTGAATATATAACGTTCAGTTTGTTTTTAATCCAATGAAAGTTTGGCACATTTACCCGTGTATGATTTTAAAAACAAACCAAGTCGAAATTCGATATTGGAATTGCATTTTTCGATTTATCACTCCCTTTGGAGTCATGATAAATATTTTAGAGGGTGATCAAACGTCGAACCATAATTCTAAACCATTATTCATCGTTATTGTTTCCTTATGTCCATTTACCATTTTTCCAAGTCGAAATTATATTGGGAAATTGTTTCTTTGAATTTAAACCATCTATGGAGTAGTCCCAGAACTCTTGGCTTTATATAATTTACAACCTGATTAAAAAAATTTACAATGGGTGGTCAAACATGATCAAAAATTGGATAAACCTATGTTGCCTGCAGTTTAAAAAAATTTAATATTCGGATGTGACTTTAATTTTTTTAAATATTTATGTTGCTGGGGGTGGTCAAAAAAGTTACTTGGTTGTCAAACATGGTCAATAGGTGTGCTTAAACAAAATTTTAGATATTCGGGGGGCCAGATTTACACAGCTGCATAAGGGTGGTAGCTGCTAAAATAGAAATGATTTGTATGAAGGTATGGAGAACAATTAAGGAGCAGCTACTCTTATGTGACAGAGGTTCAAGAATTACTTCCTGTTTTGCATGCAATAAGATTATTGATCTTCTGCATACGTAACACGTTTATCAAACCAGAGTGAACTGGGTTTCATCTCGAATTTTCTATCTACAATGCATTCATAGATTATAGATTATATAGACGATCGATGATAGAAAAATAAACACTTCAGTATTACCTCCGTTTATTGTGAATTAAGAACACCACACTACATTATTCATTAATTATTTACAATATACATATATCATACTCAGAACTTTTATAATCTATTTCGATGCCATTGAAGCGTTAGGTGAAGACCGATAAACGACGTGACTTTGATAAAGGTTAAGACGAGTCTGAGTGACTACACAGAAAAAAGATGCATGGTCTTATTTCAATGCTTTGTTGTGTTTGTATATCCGCAAGAAAAAAATACCTCTAATTAAATGAAGAGTATCTATTGCTCAATTGCAGTATTATGTACATCTTAAATGAAATAGTCTCACACTTGTTTTAAATATACTTTATTTATATTCAATAATAACTTGTTCTTAAATCCAATACAACTGAATTTGTTACAATAATAATATGATCTTTGACATAAATATATTGATTTTGGTTGAATTATAGGATAGTTTCATTGAAGAAATTTATAATCTTGAAATCAGAACAGGCTGTTTTTGCTTTTTAATAGGGTTCTCACTGGTACCTATCCACCGAAAAACATTTTTCAAAATTGTTTTTAGTTAATATACCAAAGTTCTCTGTCCTCTGAGGTGTCCCACCTATAATTAAAAAAAAAAATAATTTTATAACTTCAAAACCTAAATGGAACATAAAAGTTTGTCCTACTAAGATAAGAGTACGTATCTACAAAATGAATATTTTTAGTAAATGTGGGTAGGTAGATAAGTACGTTCTTTTAGACTTCGTAAAGAAGTTTTGCATATTTTACTAACCTTTAATTATAATTATAGTAAATGTTTTCTAATACAAATAGGCCTTTATTATTTTGTGTTATAATAAAATAAAATGTAAACTTATTAAATTTGTAAGAATCTTTAAATCAGAATTTTCGTAGATACGACCTCTTGTCTTAGCAAGGCAGAAATCGTCTTTCCAAAAAGTCGTCATCCAGGATGATACATTTTTTTACTTCTGTATTGTTCTTATGATTGTAAATTTACTTATATATAATAATAACTAACAAGAAGTGAACTAAATATACTTACATTTAAATATTGGTATCAGGTCGCTGAGGCCCCATTCATTTAACAAATATTTCATTTCAATTTAATTTATTCATACACTTATTAATTAAATCACAAAGAATTTCTAACAAAAAGTAAAACACAACCCCAACGATACGATGCAAACATGAACACGTGCTAATGCCAATTTTCCAGATTCTCTATAAATGCGTTTTGTCTCTGACTTCCGAATAATAAGTATCACTATAAGTCATATTTCTATCGTAACAGTGCAGTGGTTGCATTTTCAAATAAGTTTCAGCTGGCAACACCGTGCAGTGAATTTGTAGCTAATCTTTTATGAAGTACATAGGTTTTTGATTCGAATTGTTTAGTTCTTGTTCTGAAATTTAAATGCTTTGAATAGAATCATTTTATAACATTGAATCAAGTACGCAATAGTCGATTTTAAGAGCACACCATACTTATAATAAACGTAAGAGCTTTCTTGGATTAATTCACAATTCTATACTCGAATGAAATAATTTATTCTCAGTTTAATTATTATAACTCTTAAAATACAAGAATATGCCTATACTTTACTCAATATTTATTTTCTTATTGTATCAAGAAATATTATTTGAAGCAAACTCTGCTTTATTTCAAACAAATGTAATCTTCCAAGTGTAAAGCTTTGCTTGAATGTAGATGATATTTTTTTCTGTGTACGTGCCGCGATCCGAAAACCGTTACAGCTTGCGCATTCGTTTCGCGCATACATATTCTGTCTTTCTTTTTCCTAATCCTTATTATTGATTTTTAAATTATGCATTTTTATTGGATAATAACCGCGTTAGTTATTTTTATTTTATTGAATTTGCAAAATTGATTCTTAAGTAAATTTAACAGGTATTTTTAACACTTCCTAAAGCATACCCAAACGAATGGTATTTTGTAATAGGCTTCTATAAGAAGACGCAACGAAAAACTTTGTAGAGAATATTTTATTCACTGACGAAGAAAGGGAGTTACTAATCTAGGCTGGTACAAAGCCTAAAGTTAAAAAAGTATGGTATGATCAGATTAATTTTATAGTAAATATTTGGACCGAAATAATTAATAATTATTTGATTGGGGCAGCATTTCTTGTCAATAATTTTACAGTTAACATTATTTATCACATTCTTAGCCTACTAACGAAGCATACAAAATTTGAATCACTTATTTAACGTACTCTTCTCTTAATTTAATGCATTTATTACAAGCCAGAACTCTACAGCTTCTATAATCTCTTGGTTGGAATTGAGGAAAGAGATGATAGTCGGACGGAGCGAAATCTGGTGAATAAGAGGGTATTCGAGTAATTCAAACCACAAATTACCAATTGTTTACATGACAACTTGCAATATGTGTGTAGAGGTATTGTTCTGTAAAAACAAGACCCCTTTGAACAACTTTCCACTTCTTTTTTGCGGTGCGTGCTTGTTCTAAAAATTTCACATCTTAAAACCCCGTAATACATCAGCTTTCTTTCTTACCTAATGAATTAATAAATCTGAACTCCTCCGTTGTCGAAAGCACTTTTTAATTTTCTTGAGAATTTTCCGTTAAACGTTTTCCGAAAGGCTCACGTGTTTATCTCTTTTGTTGCAGGGCCTGAAACTTAAAGGGCAGATGGTCTTCTGTCCGGAATCGAATTCGATTTTATTCATTGGCTCGCCGTTTATCGATGGACTCGAGGGTCTCACCGGAAGTGGGCTTTTCATCTCCGATATTCCCCTTCACGATGCTACACGAGACGTTATTTTAGTTGGCGAGCAAGCCAGAGCTCAGGTAAGAAAATTATGTATACTGCTTATTTTTCACCACGTAGCTTTAGAAAATTTTTATATATATGAAGAGTTTTTCAGAGGAAAATATACAGGGCGGCCCCAATTTTGACCTATACATCAGGAACTTTTAAAAATATACATATTTTAACAGTAAATATGACCTCAAAATACGCCTCTACACTGGCGCGTTCTTTGAAACAAAATATCGATTCAGAATAAAATGTAATTTTAATTTAAGGAAGAGGTATAAAAAAAAGTGAAAATTTGGAAAATTTCTATTGCGTAAAAACAAATAAAGACAAAAAAAATAAACTGGAACAATCGAAACGATAATAAAATGTAATACAAAATAGAGTATTTTGAACATCGATTGAATGTAATTTTATTGAAGAGACAAAAAAGTGAAAATTTGGAAAAAATGCCTATTATATCAAAACGAATAGAGATAAAAAATTTAAACTAGAATTATCGAAAATATAATAAAATTTTATATAGTATAGATTATTCCAAACTTCAATTTTGAATAAAATGTGATTTTAATTTATGTAAGAGACATAAAAACAAGTGAAAATTTAGAAAACATCGATTTAGAATGAAATGTAATTATAGTTTACGGGAGAGACATAAAAACAAGTGACAATTTGGAAAAATGCCTATTATGTAAAAACGAATAGAGATAAATTGTTCTAGTTTCAATTTCTAGCAATTTCTAGCAAAAACAATAAAATTTTTAAGGATATAGAATATTCTAAATATCTGTTTTGTTTAATCAAAAATTATAAAATAAAAACTTTTGTAAACTTCATATTTTCATTATTCATCCTTCTATAAAAAATCAACATGAAACCTTTAGAATCACACCTGCAAAAATAGGTGCATCATTCAGAGCTAGCAAGCAGAAGTGGGTAGGTTGTTTTCGTGAACCGTTTGTAAAAGAGCTTCGGTGAAAAAAAATTGAATAACTACAGTCGCCACAAGAAAAACCTTACATATTTATTTTATGCAAAATTTACCAAAGAAGTTTTAAAAATATGATAGTTAAAATTTTCAGAAAATTCTGCACATTTTTGTCTATCCAGAATAATTTCCTTCTAACTTATTATATTAGGGGTGGAGGGAAGTAGGAACCATGCTTTTAACAAAAGCTTGTCTGGTTCTGTTTAACCAAATTTTGAAATCTTGATGTTGTTGAATACAGATCTTCTTCACCAATGTTTCGAAACAATCTGATTTTAGAAATATAGTATGCAAGTATGCAATTTTTACCACGGATTATAAGAATAAATTATCAAAGAATCAGTGAAAATATGAAAAAGTGAAGCATTTTTCTTTAAATATTGAATAATTTGGTTCCACAAAACAGAATTTAACAATTTTGGACACTTTAAAATTTACTTTTTTTAATCTATGCATAATAAAATAGTAGTTTACCTAACAAGTGCGGAAAGTGATACTTTTTCGCACGCGATTGCAGATTGCCGAACGACGTGTTAGCGGAGTTCTGCCAGCAATCGCGGGCGGAAAATTCACTTTACGCACGTGTTAGGTTCACTATTTTTTCTACTAGCGTGCGGAAAAAACCCAAAAGTTAACATGAAGAAACATTTATTATTAAATATATATCAACAAATTAATTACTCTTAATATTAATATTGAACGTGCAATTTGTAGCATTCTGCAAATTAATTGCAGAGGCTAAAATGTTTTCCAATGAAGTCAGATTTCGGTTTTTCACTGCTTTGTCAGCTCTAATTGTTGCAAAAGTGACCATGGGAACTTGGCTGGAAGAGGTCATTTTGGAAGGCTTTACTGGTAACAGCTGCTGACTAGTGGAAGAGCCAGCAACAGCCTCATTGAAGTTTAATATTTTATTCGATAGGCCCTTTTGGAAACTTGGTGAACCTTCTACATAACCTTCTACGACGCTAGAAGATTTCAACCTCCGAGGCGTTTATTATTTGTTATTCCTTCTCCGGAATCTGCAAGCATTGTGGCGGCGGAACGTCGAAAACTGTGGCCCGTATATAATTCAGGATTTGGAAGCTTCAGATAACTTGCAATCTCTGATGGCATTTTTCTGAAGGTGTTTATTCCGATACATTATACAGTGCAAGTTCTTTTCTTATATTTTACGAAAAATCGCTTATGTGGGGTTTTAGGCTTTATTAAACTCACATACTTTCTGAACAAATTGAGCAATTTTCCATTTTCAGCTTCCTCAGAAATCGCAAAGCTTCTGAAAGATGAAAGAGTGGTTTTTTTGTATCTGGGATATTTATCAATAAAATATTTCCTCAGTCATTAATATGATCTAAAAACATCTTTGTTAATTCTTCTCGCCTACATGCGCCCGCCAAACCAAAATTCGTAGCGACTTTTATATGAAGATAAATTTTGTCAGGCGTTTCATTTATAAACTTAAAAATTTCTTCTTTTGAGAAAATGTTTGCCTTTTTTGGTCTAAATCCAATGTTTTGTTTTTTTATTTATGCCGTGACCTTGAAAAAATCGACGTCTTTTTTGAGTTTAATTACACTTTTTAACATTAAGTACCTGGACCGAAGAGTGTTTGGCTTGCATGTTTTGGAAATGTCTGCGAAATAAGCCAAATAAACGTCTTCTTTAAAAGTTTTAATTCCCTTATTCTGGCACCAGTTTTCATTCCTTTTCATACCTATAACGGGATTTTGATGATAGTAGATCCAAGTTTGCAGTTCTAGCCGCTTCCAAATCTTCGTCTAAAGAATCCATGAAAAATTATCTTCTAGAAAAAGATGCGACGGTAAAATTTGTTTTAACAAGGTAGTGTTTTGACTAGCAGGTTTATTTTTTCTGTGTTCCTACGGTGATTCAAAGTGACAAATAAAAAATGTCAGATGTTTATTATTAGTTGACATTCATTTGATGAGGCTTATACCAGGGCCATTAAAAAATTATTGAAACATACGTTTCTTTTTATTAAAAATTATAGCAGCATTCTAATAAATTTCATAATTTTTCAGTCATTTTGTAAACTACAACCATACAAATATTTTAAATATTCAAATGTCAGTATATTTCCCAAAAACTAGTGCGGAAAAGTGACTCTTTCAACACTAAAATGAGTGCGGAAAAGTGGACTTTTCCGCACGCTAGTAGAAAAAAAAATGAATAATATTGTTACTGTCACTAGTACAGGGCGTTAAAGAAATTTAATTAATAGAAGAGAACTACGTAAAACTTTATACTATAAAATTCTTAAAGGTGAAAGAAGATGTACATCCAATATATAAATAGAACATTCAGTATATTTAAACATTATTTAAGGTACCTTTCAAAATCTTTTCAAACAAAGAAGTTATTTTATTTATATTTTTTAATTGCAAATAATTATTTACAGGATGGACTTCGGAGAAGAATGGACAAGCTCAAAAGTTCAATCGAAGAAGGAAACAGAGCTGTGGATAAAGAACGAGAAAAAAATGTTAGTTTATTACATTTAATTTTTCCACCGGATATTGCTAAGCGGCTGTGGTTAGGTAAGTATTTTTATTATAATTTTTCCGAGAGGCCGAAAATTTGTACGATTTTCATTATTACTGATTGCTGGATATGCCTAATAAAAGAAAGTTTGCTGTTATTCGTTATGATCAAATCCTTAACTTCATTAGATCTAATTAAAGCCTCCCAGCCAATTGCATAACCAAAATTTATAAATTTTCTTTATAACACAACATTTACTGACATAAAACTTATCTTATTTTGTATACTCCAATTGATTATATTAATTATATCCTGTTGTAACAACACACAGTCCCTGACAGTTTCAATCTTTATGAATATTTGAAAATCATCTGCAAAGAATAAGAATTTAAAGTAGGAAACACAGTTTTGTCCATACTGTTCAGCTAACACATCAGATACATATATTTTTTGGTATCCTATTGCTAAAAAAATATTAATATAAAAACAGATTTCATTTCTCACCGTACAACCAGGTTCAGAAGTTCAACCTTATACATGGTGACTGAATAAACTGTATTTTGATTCATCAACCACTCTTGAATTTGATCCTTAGTCCAATTACTGTTTGGTGTTTTTATGTGCCAGTATTCTATGGGTAAATAGTGGGGTATACCATGGTGTAAGAATATAGGTGAAGCGCAGATTTTATGACGTCAACATCGGTATTGTCACGGCCGCCTATAATAGATTGCCATGGCTCTGTTTACATTTTGTAATGATTGTCAAGATGTTACTCTTTTATTTCCCAGTTCTATAATCATTATAAAACTAAAAAATATATATTTAAATGAAAATAACTGATAAATCATACATAAGTTATGCTCAATAATACAAGAAAATTATAAGAAAACTCACTATATGCAAAAGAAATGCCAAATAAAAAATATTTTGCGCTCTTTTATATACAAAAACTAGCTAATTTATTTCCAATTTAGCATAATATATTTAAGTTACACCAGTTGGTATGTATTTTAATTGAGCATCACTATCTGATAGATTGAGATCAAGATGATAGTCGAAACTTCTAGAACCTAATCTTTCATAGACATTACCATTAAAAGGTGTTAATGGCTCAGTACCGATAAAAATTAGCCTTTTTCCTGGGAATATTTAAAAAAGATCCGCTAGGGGCAGCACCGGTGGGGGAGTACATATGTTTTGAATTTTCAACTAACAATAACGTCAAACGTATAGATTTATAATGAGAATGAACGGAAAATGATGTACCTGGAGCGAAATTGAAAGTTGCAAAAGTGCAAGATCAGAGGCTAAATCATTAATTAAAATTACTATTAGCATTTTTATTACTAATTTGTAGTGATTCAACATCAGTAACAGCAGAACAGATAAGTTTTTGATGTTTATTTTTTCCAGTGCTTGAGTCCTCTTCAATACATCGTTGCTGTCTTTTATATTTCATACACAATTAAAAAGAAGTTTAAGTTCATTATTTACTATCAATAATGATAATAATATGTAGATTGATATAAAATATAACCTCTTTAAATAAACAATTACTAACCTTTGAAACTATCGCTGGAAATGGAGTTGGGTTTTCTATTGTTGGTCCATTTGAATTAATAAAATGTCTTGTACAAATAAAAGTATGTTTTTTATTTTTTCAACTGTTAAATCTGCCCTTCGTGATAAATGTATTCACTCCAAACACTTTTTTGTCAACTTGTGTTTTTATAAAAGGCACAAATTTTACACCATCTTGCTTGTAACGACTGTCAGACGTACAATTAGCAAACGCACAATGTTTGGTAGGCATGACAATTTGTTTTTTAATTTTATTTATCACAATATTTATTTATTCTAATAATAATAAAACGTACGTTTGACGTTGTTGTCAATAGAGAATTCGAAACATATGTACCTCCCACCGGTGCTGCCCCTAGCGGATCTTTTTTAAATCTTCCCAGGAAAAAGGCTAATTTGGAATACATAAAAGGCATATACAAATAAGTAGATTTAAATGTGAAAATAAAATATGTGATTCAATTACAAAAAGAACTAAATAGATGCCTAATTAAAATTTTGTAAAATGTAAACAAAAGCAGAAACATAAAATTAAAGTGAAATAAATTTAACAGGATATTTTTTCAGTCACTTATTTTCTTAAATAATCTACTAATATACTTTTTTTTGGTTTTTAGTTTAATATTGACATTTTTATAAGAATTTTACATTTTATTTTCGTAATTCCCTGCTATAGTTATCCTCCTTTTCAGGGTGGTCTGCCCTGATTACAATAAGTAACCTCGCTAGCTATTTCCTAATGTATCATGTGAGCGTGTGGGACCTGTGTGGCAGGATATGTTCCCCAAAATATCGCCAATTTTGCTATTTCCAACCTCATAAATGGGCAAGTCCAAGTATGGTAGGGAATATGATTTAGGGAAACCACAAAAACCTAAATCACGATATTGTACAAATAGTATGAGTTTCTAATTATATGATTGGGAATGGTCTATCTTATGTTTAGGGGGGCTGATTTCAGCAGATCCTGGAGTTCAGCAGTGAGGGGGAGGTCTTGGGAGTCTGAGAGAAGTCTCAGATTTGGTTGTAGCATTTTTCTTTTCGGTTTTCAAACAAGTGGGAGGTGGTTTGGGCGCCATGGGGTTCAAAATGTCTCTTGTGAGTGTGTGTTGGTACCTTTCAGCGAGCGAGAGACGTATTGTTTCCTGAGGGTTCGGAAACGTGTGAATATGGGGGTTTAGGAGATGTTTTCGAAAACTTCTCTCGAGTGTGATGAATTTGTAAGACAAGTATCCCACAAAGCCCCAAGGAGATTGGCTCGTTTTCGCATCTTATCAAGAGAACATTAGACATCAGAGGACCAGTTAAGTGTACGAGAAAATCGTACCCCCAAATAGTCAACTTCAGTCTGTTGAGCGAGCCTGACTCTCAGGAGATTTACATTTACGAGTTGGGGGTTCTAAGGGGTTCTTTGGGAATTTGGGTGTTTAAAGACGATGAATTGTGTTTACTGTGGATTTAATGAGACCCTCTATCTGCTATATCAGTGAGAGAACTGGTTTAACAGATTTTGGGTTCGAGTATTTAGTTGGTTAGAATTTTTGGCTACCGAGATTAGAGCTTTATCGACGGCGTATAGGAAGCATTTGGACGTAGGGTGGTTTGAGGGAGGAATGTCGTAAGTGTAGAAGAGGTAGAGCAGAGGGGTCAGGACGGAGCAATAATATATGAAAAAAATAATTAGAAATTATTTTTTTTATCTTTAATATATAGCAAAAATGTGACATAACCTAACTTTATATCAATTACACCATCAGTTTAATTAGAAATTAATTGAATAATACGTACCAAAAATTACTAAAAAGACCTCCTGATATATAGAAATAATATTAAATTTGTAAATAAATTTACCTATACAGTTCTAAGCACTATCAGGAAGATATTAAATTAACTCAAAAATTAGCTTTTTAACATTCGAGACATAGGCATAATAAAAATCTGCTTCGAAAGTGACGTCATGCGCAAGACTGACGATTTTCGTACATCTAACCGCTTCACCTTAATTTTTCCACCATATACCAAAAATATAAAAGCATACATTTATCGAATCATCGTTCATATAAGTTTTTTGTCACAGCTAATTTTTGTTATATTTTTTAAAAATACAGACTCTAGCATCAGTAACTTTTTCAATATCTGAAGTTTATAATCCTATTTACAAAGTTTAATTGGATTTTCATCTTTCATATAAAATAAATCTCTATTGCGAAGCGTGATTCGAATATATCGTTTACATAAAGCACATCAGACAGAGGGTTAAGCATCAGAGTTAAAGCATTCCGACTAAAACAATGAGCGTTAACTCTACAAATAATTTCTAGTCTGTACTCATACAATAACCATAACAATAACTAATATTCTAATTTAAATTGAAACCAGAGATAATTTACATTCATTATTATAATATATTATTATCGCAGCATGAAATAGTAAGAGTGATAAATGTCATTTATGTACAGGGTGTCAATTTAAAACTTCCCATTGGCAAAAGCTAATAAAAAATATCAAAAATTGCTTATGACAGGCAGATTTTTATTCCAAGGGGGACACCATTCTATCTTATTCTCAAATGTCATATGTCATTTCGCTTCCCTTACACTAACCAATACAATTTGAATAGGAAAAGTACAAGGTATGATATATTGAATTTTATAAATTAATTAGTAGTTAGCTGTATCAAAACCCTTCTGCGAAACGGGATAATTTTTCAAAAGCGGAATATAATTTATTGTTAAATTAAAACGCTTTTCGACACACTTAGCTGTTGTTTTTTTTTAATTTCACATCATATATTATTTTATAATCAAATTTACCAAAAGCTGATATTCTAATTTCTTGTTTATGAAAATAATGATGATCTAATTTCATCATGATGTATTAATTATTAAATTGTGCAAAAGCGAAAGATGGTCCACCTAAATGCGTTGACTGCGGCAAAAGACATCCTGCTAGCTACTGGGGATGTGAAGTAGACAAGGAAATGCAAAAATCAAAAATAATAGCACAGCAAAAAACCAAACTTACCTAAACAGCCACAGGGAATAATCCAACATAAGCCTGTTAATATAAACAATTTAATAGACAAATCTAGATTATTCAGCCAGACGGTATCTGATAAAAAAAAAATAGATAACAATCAAGATTCATCCATTACCAATACTCTCCACCAAATACTGGAAAAGCTGAACAAAATGGATGAACGAATTACTAGATTAGAATATAGTAACAGAGGAGCTATACCTAAGAGACAATATAATGAGTAATAGCCTTATAATAATGGAATGCTAATGGACTACTGCAGCACCAACAGGAATTACAAGCAATCCTAGATATGGAAAGCATAGATATATGCTTAATTTCAGAGACTCACTTTACCAATGAGTCCTTAATTAAATTTAAGGGATATCATACTATTTATCCCCAAAATGCCGCAAGAGGGGGAAGCGCAGTAATAATCAAAGAATCAATTAAGCATCATCAAGAAGCGGGATACAGGACTAAAGAATTTCAGGCTACTTCAGTAATGATAAAATCTAAACCTTCTGATGTTATGGTCACTTCTGTATATTGTCCTCCAAGACATACCGCTAAAAAAAAACAATACCTAGATTTCGTCAACCCAAACATTTATTCGATATTCCGTCAATTTAAGTTTGTATTATTAGCTATTTTATTACCAGTCCCAGTTAAAATAGACATGGCAACGATGTAATATATCTAAAAGTGAATTAAAATAAAAATTAAAAAATTCAATTTGTAATCATTAGTAGATTTATTCATTGACATAAGTTATAATTTTAACCAAATAGTACAGAATACAAAATTAAAAATGACATGTGGTTATTTTTTTAACACAGAGTTAATTTTTACAAAATTTTACAAAATATACGCATTTTATAGTTAATCTCCGTTGAGGATAATTAAAAAAAATAGTTTTTGTTTTATGCTCTTGTAAAGAAGCGTGCATAATAAAGTTTCCATTTGTTTTTACATGAATTACTTATACATATAATTATATAGATTGACGGCAGTTATAAAAACATACATATTTTTAATCGTAAATACGATCTGAATACGCCTCTGTGCACGCTCGGAAAAACAAAATAATATTAAACACAATGTCACACCGTATGCAAGCAACTATCTCCGACATAGTGACGCTAATATTGGTACGTGAGAAAAAACGTAATTTAACATGAATCAACAACAATTTTTAGGCCGGGTGGATAACGGAAATCTAATTGACCACAAGGTATCGAGAGTTTGGTGAGCGCGTGGTTTAACAATACCGTATTTCCGCCGACAAACAATTGCATTTTGGAAAACATATTCATTTCTTTTGCCATCTGGTAAAGAAGACACCTTGCCATGAGTTAAAAGATTGTTGCAAAAATATTTTCCGAGAAAAAGTTTAACAAGCCAGTTTTCAACAAATTGAACTAATGCACATAAATATTTAAATAATAAGTTCTTACGTCAGAATTTTTCTCTTAACTTTCTACAAGAATCAGCTAAAACAGAGTTCAGAGTTCATCAAGTAACACATAAATTGCAAAGAAATATGTAGTATTCAAGAACTTACGCTCACAACTTAACACTTCCAGGTAGAGTTAGGGTGATTTTAAATTTATTAAATAGTGATTCATATTGACATACTTTGGAAACAAAAAAGGACGGTATTTGGTAATCCTACCACTTTCTCATACTCCAAGTTTTTTTTACAAACTTAACAGGAGACAAAAGATATGAATTTTATTTGCTTCTCTGTGAATACACATATTTATTCCGCCAACCGAATGTTTGTGAACAATAATCCAAACAAAATCGTATATTTACACATTGTTGAAAAAATTCCAATTTTATCCGTCCTCTTAACCTCCCCAGCGAGAATCTCGCATTGTATTTTTTTTACAAGCTAATTCGAAATTCAATTTTCCAGGCGAAACCATAGAAGCGAAGACGCACGAAGACGTAACGATGCTGTTCAGTGACATAGTCGGATTTACATCAATTTGCGCCACAGCCACGCCGATGATGGTTATAAACATGCTCCAAAATCTCTACAATAAATTCGACACTTTTTGTGGACAAATTGACGTCTATAAGGTAGGCGCTTTTCGCTTTTCTAACGTCGTATACCTTCGGTCAGAGATAATTTTCACCCGCACAAGCTCGTTTAAAATAAATCGTTAAACAAAATTAGTAAAATAAATTGTTAAACTAAATTGGTAAAATAAATTGTTAAAATAAATTGTTAAAATAAATTGTTAAAATAAATTGTTAAAATAAATTGTTAAAATAAATTGTTAAAATAAATTGTTAAAATAAATTGTTAAAATAAATTGTTAAAATAAATTGTTAAAATAAATTGTTAAAATAAATTGTTAAAATAAATTGTTAAAATAAATTGTTAAAATAAATTGTTAAAATAAATTGTTAAAATAAATTGTTAAAATAAATTGTTGAAATAAATTGTTAAAATAAATTGTCAAAATAAATTGTTAAAATAAATTGTCAAAATAAATTGTTAAAATAAATTGTTAAAATAAATTGTTAAAATAAATTGTTAAAATAAATTAAAATAAATTGTTAAAATAAATTGTTAAAATAAATTGTTAAAATAAAATGTTAAAATAAATTGTTAAAATAAATTGTTAAAATAAATTGTAATTGTTAAAATAAATGAAAACGTTTGTTCAACAGTTTGTAACACATTACTCCATCTCTTTCCATGTCAAACTTAGTCAAACCACACCATTTTATTAAAGCAATCACAAAACATTCTTAACTCGACGTGATGAAACATGTTTCTACCAGAGAGAACCATTCGGATCCCCAAATAAGCAAGAACAAAATCAATATCCGTTCGTAACGGTCGCACTGTAACATTTAAAATTAAAACAAATATAGGAAGACCTTTTACACCAGCATAAATGTAATCATATGTAAAAGTATCAATCAATGAGTGGATAAAGGTGTCATCTCGATTCTTCATCTCCACCCTCTAAAACGGAAGGAACCCTTTGTTTCTTTGACGTTTAAACAATAATAATAATATACAAAAGGTATTACTATGTAAATATTACTTGCATAGGGATTATAATTTTTAATTCTTTAGATATAATAAAAGATGTGTTTTAAGAAATATATCGCAGGATTCTCAATAACAATCAAAAATTAAAAAAATAGGTAGCTTACTAATGAAAACTAGAAACCCATTAGAACTAGAAGAAAATAAGTTTGGTTTGCTAGCACAGCACTAAAATTTCATTTTGACATCTGACAGGCTGACGAGTCTAATGGTGACACCATTTTATGCCTCTGTTGTCGTTTTCTTCACGTTTTATTTGTGTCGTTTTTTCAATTTAACTGGTGTTGATCGCATTTCATTTTATAGTTTGACAACTAGCTGTGTGCTTGGGTGATTTTCAAGTCATATATATATATATCTACTTTAAATGCATTGTGGCACCTGTTAAGTCTAATGTAGTTGTGGCACCAGTGTTATAATTAACGTCATTAAGGCACCATCTAATTGAAGTAGGCTGTGGCACCAGTATATATATTTCAAGTGGTATTATGGCACCATGCGCTGTTGTCAAGTTTACGTGGTGCTTAAACGTGGCTGTGTATATAATAACTTATACAGTAATTAATACGTTAAGAAGTCAGTAATTATTTGAGCACAGACGTATAAATTAATTTTAGCTAAATAAACAATTTTGATAAATAATCCCGAGGCAGATATATTTTTGATTTTAATTTGCTGTTTTATACACGTAACAATTATACAGGGTGCGCCATCTTCGACTGAAGATGTCATTGGTATTTTTACTTTCTTATACTAACATGTACGGTGTGTTCCATAAAGTTGGACCCATATGGGAATTTGTTTAATATTATGACCGGAAAAATACGTTGTAGGGCAATCGCCTCTGCCTATTTAAAAACTTAAAATTGTCTATATCAAAGTTGGCTACTGATATTAGTTTTTGTCAAGTTCGCATTAATAAATTGTTTTTATGAACAATTTGTTAAAAAAACACTGCCAACTTTAATATGGGTTATATTAAGTTTTTAAAAAAGCAGAGTTGAATGTCATGACGTTTTTTTCTAATCGTAATGTTAAGAAAATACCCTATGGATCCAACTTTATGGAACATACTGTATATGGGATGTATACCAGCGGTAATAATATAAGAAAGTATTGTAATCCAGAGAATTTTACACTTTGAGATTTTAACTAGTAAATTAGGTTAATAAGAAAATAAATTTTATTATTGTGTTCATACATTGTTTTTATAACAAAGCATCAAGTTACAAATGACGGAAGAAACGAATGTTATACAAATGTGTACTCGTTTACAATTAATGTCTTTATTTGAACATAATCATTGTTGGTAAATTCATCATGTTTTGAAATATAATCCACGATTTTTAATTTTCAGTTGATTTTTAAAAACAAAATAATGTTTACTGTAGATCTCAGGCATGAAATATTTTTATAATATGATCCCGCGCCTTTCCCAATGAAATATAGCATAAACTATTTCAGTAGCCCTATTTGAAATGAGTGTATTCATGTAAAAAACCTCGAGTAAATCTATAATTTTTGCATATTATTTGTTTTTAAAACTCAACAAGTAAAAAAAATGTAAATATACAGGGTGTTCCATTAGTGCGTAATTGTTCAATATTTCAATTTGTGTTATAGACAAGCAAAACAGTTTTATGGATTTAAAAAGTACATATTTTAAAAATATTGTTGGATATACAGGATATTGCATTTTTGCCTGGCAAATAAAAATTTATGTTTTTTAAGTAGAACAACTTGTATTTTATTTTTAGAATGGTTTATTAATACTGTATTCAACTCTAGAATGTTTTTAAACAACATTAGTGTTGCCAAGCAATTTTTTTTTAATAGAGAATGATGCAGACCACAAATTAAATAATCATAGCTTAGGTAGATTTACCTTAATTTTAAAATTGTTAAATATACAGACTTATAAGATACTAAGCTAAAGAATAGTGGTGATAGAACTGGTTGATTTTATACAGAGTGTTTTAAAACATGTCTTAAATTTGGTTAGTTTTAAGTTAAATTTACTTTATTTTTTCAAATGCAACATCCTGTATATTATTTTAGTATAAAATTCTTTATACATATACCTATCCAAAGATTTCAAAATATTAGACAATAACACATATACAGGGTGTCCCATGAGAGCGTAATTGATGGATAGCCGTTGTATTATTAAAAATACGAAAAAAAAAGTTACATGACCATATTTATTAAATATTACCTAATATACAGGGTATTCCATAATCGAGAGGTTGACCAAACATACATTTTTAAAGGAAAACACCCTACAGGTAGTTATAGATATTTGATTGTTTTCACATCGTCAAACCATTTTATTAGACTTCATTTATTTGCTATTTTGTATATAGGGTGTGACAAAATGCGAGGTAACGGTTTTCTCAATTTTTTAAATGAAATACCATATATCTTATACTACCAATTAATTAATAAAGGGTAATCCATTTAAAAACTCATAACCTCACGTTTTTAAACACCCTATATACAACATAGCAAATGAGGGAAATCATTTAAAATTGTTTGACGATGTAATAACAATCAAATATGTTTAACTACCTGTAAAGTGTTAAGCTTTAAAAAAATATAGATTCGGTCAGCACCTTGTTTATGAACCACCCTGTATATATAAGAACAATTGTTAAATATGGTCATACAACATTTATATTAAATTTTTTTTTTCGTATTTCCAATAATAAAACTGTCCATCAATTACGCCCTGATATAATTTATTGGCTAATAGGTTGGTATCGTTGGATAGTTAAATGTATAACAAATTTTATGCTTAAATAATATACAGGGTGTTGCATTTGAAAAATTGAGTAAATTGAACTTAAAATTAGCCATTATTGAGACATGTTTCAAAACACTTTGTAGAGAATAAACCAGTTCTATCACCGCTATTCGTTAGCTTAGTATCTTATAAGCCTGTATATTAAACAATTTTGAAATCAATCTAAATTTACCTAAATTATGATAATTTAATTTGAAGTCTGCATTATTCTCTTATTAAAAAAAAAATTAATTGCTTGGCAAACATTCCCGGGTTGAATATAATATTAAAAAAACATTCTAACAATAAAATAAAATACAGGGTGTTCTATTTAAATTATATACATTTTTATTTGCCAGGCGAATACGCAACACCCTGTATATACAAAAATATTTTTAAGATATGTATGTTTCAGATCCATATACCTTTTATTTGAAACTGTTTTGCGGACACCCTGTATAACGTTCTGGCAACATCATACGTAAAGTCTATAAACTGGTGCCACAACTATATAATGGTCTTAATTATTGCAATATTCCTGATGGATTAATGGTCTTGGGAAGAGGTCTTGGGAAATACAGAATGCATCAAACAGAAGTTAAATATATGTATAACATAAGGAAATAAAAAAACATAAGTTTAAAGTCAAAATGTGCATACTTTCGTGTTCAATAGCTTTACTTCTAATACTTTTTATTGTATCAAGAATATTTATTTCTGACACATAGGCCAAAACTTGGTTGTATTAACATGATTTTGACTATTATATTATTAAAAATGCTTTATACATAATTAGGGGTTAATTTAGAAATATCATTCAAGAAATACTGATTTCTTTTACATTCCATTTATTCGATACGTAGGCATTATATGCGGCTTCTTTAATTTAATTTATACTAGACGACACACCCTTGGATGACTTATTTCTTAAACTTAATTTCACCACATAGGCCTCTTTTTTTATAGCTGTTGTTACTAAATTATGCAATTGTTAATAGTATTGTAAATCGTTGCTGCTTTTAGTTATTTAAAATGTTTTTAAATGTTTAATCCCTATCAACAATTATTAATGTGTCCAACACATTCATGTTTAAAGTATGAACTAAATACATACTTTTTGCACACATCTTACTCGAAATATTTTTAAATATATATTACCAACGAAAATACAAACCACTGCCAAACAGAAATACATATACACACAGAAAATACAAAAAAAAAATGTTTATACTT